CACCTCTGCCCATTGGAGTGGTCTGGGTGCCAACTCCCACTACCCTTAACCCTGCAACTGTAATTCTTGCAGTTTTTATAAACTGTAATAATTACCTTGCAGGGTTAACTCCTCCTCTAGTGGCTGTCTACTTCCTGGTCTATAGCACAGGTTTGAGGACCTCCAGCATCGCTAAAATTCCAATAGGAAAGCATTGAAAAGCATTTGCCGCACAGGAGCATTAGGTCTCCCCCGCCGGCGGGCATGATCAGTCTCCCCTGCCAGCTGACATGATGAAGGGGAGGAGCGTGGGCGGAGGAAGAAGCAGCGACGTGGGACATGTCGCTGCCTCTGGTAAGTCACTGAAGGGGTTTTCACCCCTTCAGCAACCGGGGATGGGAGGTGGCACTGGAGAGTCCCTTTAACTCACTGCACATTACACAGAACATTTAACTCCCGACACAATACAATGAGAGCATTAACCTCACTACACAATACTGAGAGCATTAAACTCACTACACACTACACTGAGAGCATTTAACGCACTACACAGTACACTGAGAGCATTTAACTCACTGCACAATACACTGAGGATATTTGGCTCCCTGCACAATACACTGAGAGCATTTAACTCACTGCACACTACACTGAGGATATTAAACTCACTGCATGTCATACCGAGGAGATTTAACTCACTGCACAATACACTGAGAGCATTTAACTCACTGCACACTACACTGAGGATATGTAACTCACTGCACGCTACACTGAGGATATTTAGCTCACTGCACACTACACTGAGGATATCTAACTCACTGCACGCTACACTGAGGATATTTAACTCACTGCACAATACACAGAGCATTTAACTCACTGCACACTACACTGAGGATATGTAACTCACTGCACGCTACACTGAGGATATTTAGTTCACTGCACACTACACTGAGGATATGTAACTCACTGCACGCTACACTGAGGATATTTAACTCACTGCACGCTACACTGAGATAATGTAACTCACTGCAAGGGCCAGCAGCTGTGGAATACAAAGCCTACAGTGCTCAGCTGATCTCAAATATGATTCCCACGCAGGGGATAAAATGCAATACAGTCATATAATGTGGGAAACAAAAAAATTTGTCCTTTGTGGCTAACAGATAAAAACTCTTGTTGAACAGTATAGGATTCCCTTTTTTCATTCTCTGGAGTGTACCAGATAGCTCGGCAGTGTATCAGGTAGTTTCTGCCCTAGCCATACTTAGTTAGTAGTTGCTGTTGTAGAGATCTCGGGAAGTGTGTTTTGTATTCAGTCTGAGAAGGATCGTATGTGGTTCTGTTGGAGTCCTGAGGTTTCATAGTGTGCCATGGAGCGGTGGTGGTGTGTGGGCTATCTCTTGGTGGTGTGTAGCCTATCGTTGGTGCAGGTGTCCCTGGGAAGTGGTGTCTTAGGCTATTTAGGAGCTCGCGACCCGCAGCCAGGCGCCTGTATTTCTAATCTGCATGGAGTAAGTACGCAGATTTGGGGGTGGGGGATGTGGAGGTGTCTGTTGGGGGATGAAGAGGGAGAGTAGGAGGGCTGGGGAGGTGGATGGGCTGGGGGGGAGAGGTAGCATCCCCAGTCTCCACCCCATCCCACTGCACCATCCCACTGCACCCCATGGTCCATTACGAATTTGCCTAAACCCGTTGTTTCCCTCCTCTCCATAACTGCTCATGGGTTGGTCGGTTGTTGTATCAAGTTTCTCAAAATTAGGGAGCGCAAGTCCGTCCCGGAGTTTGGGTTGTGTTAGTTTGGAATATGCTTTGCGGGGGACCTGCCCTTTCAAACAAACTTGTGAACTTCCGCCTTTAGGGTGATGAAGAAAGATTTTGGGGCTAAAATTGGCACTGTTTGAAAGATGAATAGGAGTTTGGGCAGCATCGTCATCTTGACCGCGTTCACCCAGCCCAGCCAAGAGATGTAGTAGGAGTCCCAAGTAGTAGTTCCTCCTGGACCGCCTTCAGAATAGGGACGTAGTTGTGGGAATAGAGGTCTGCTGGGTCTGGTGTGAGCCAGACCCCCAGGTATCTCATGTGCTGGTTGCACCAGCGTTATAGGAACTGTTGTTGAAGTGTCCACCTGAGTGTGTGGCTGATGGAGAGGCCCAGTATCTCAGATTTCGAATAATTGATTTGTAGGTTCAAAACACGCCCATATGTTTCGAATTCTGACTGAATTGCTTGTAGGGAGGGTCTTGTCTGTGACAATAAATAGGAGGTCGTCAGACTATGCCAGTATTTTGTGATGAGTACTTCCAGCTTTCATTCCTTGGATGTTTTCGTTGCGTCTGACCCTATTGAGGAAGGGTTCTAGTGTCAGTGAGAATAGCAGGGGCGATAGTGGGCCACCTTGCCTTGTCCCTTTATGGATCCCAAATGCGGGCAGTGGGGCAAGAGTATAGTGCCCTCACCCATGTGAGGTATTTTGGTCCAACTCCAAGGTTTCGGATTACTCAAAACATCAGGTCCCAGTCCACGCTGTCAAACGCTTTTTCTGCGTCCGTAGACAGGAGGAAGATTGGGTTCTTCATCTGTTTGGCTTTAGCAATTAGGTTCAGTGCCCGGATAGTGTTGTCCCATACCTTCCGTCCCGGGATGATTCCTGTTTGGTCTGGGTGCACTGTTACTTGTAGTAGGTGCTAGGCAGGCAGCCAGGACACTTGCCAATAGCTTGAGGTCGACATCCAGTACGCATGTTGGGTGGTAGCTTGGGCACAGTGTTGGATCTTTACCATCCTACGAGAAAAGTGTAATATACGCGGATGTGAACTGGGCTTTTGGTTTGGCTTCTTCTAAGATGGAATTCAAAGCTGTTTGTAGTTTCACGAGGAGGTCTTGGGAGAAGGTCTTGTAATACAAAAGGGGAAGGCCTCCTGGTCCTGGTGCCTTGCTGTTTTTTGCCTTTTTTAATGGCGTATGCCAATTCCTCAGTGGAAGTGGGGGTCTCCAGAGTCTCTCGGTTACCATCCTCGAGCCTTGGCACGGCTGCAGGATCCAGGTATCTCTGGATTTTTTGTTCTAGTCTGGTGGAGTGTGTTGCTCCCTCTGCATCTTGGTGTATGTGGTACAGCCCATGATAGTAGCTGAGGAACGCGGTCCAGATTTGGTCTGCAAACGTCTAGTTCTAGTCCAGGATTAGGGAACCATCAGCACTGTTGGGGACTACTTGTAGCCAGGCCCGGACTGGCCATCGGGCATACCGGGCAAATGCCCGGTGGGCCGCGATGGCCGTGGGGCCGAGGCCGGCAGGGAGATCACAGGATCTCCCCGGCCAGCCCCTGCAGGGCCGGCACTATCTGAGCGCCGGCCCTGCTATGTGCCTCCATGGGCCGGTGAGGGAGATCAAAGATCTCCCTCACCGGCCCACAGACAGGGAGATGCGGCCGCCAGCTGGGTGAGGGAGAGAGGACCGGCGGAGCTCTAGCCAACAGCTCCGCCGGGTCCTCTCGCGAGATTCTGAGCGTTGCCACGGCAACGCTCAGAACTCGCGAGAGTGAACTCTAACCTGCAGGTTAGAGTTCACTCTCACCACTGGACCACCAGGGAATGCAGCATGGTCCCCTCAAGGCTCCCCCTGCCAGGCAGAACGGCTCCCTCCCCCTCCCAGGCTAAAGGTAAGAATTGAGGGGGGGGGGGGACATAACTTTAAAAAAAATTATTAATAAAAAAATATATATATTTAAAATGAATTCCCAAACAGCACCCCCAGACACACACACATACCCCAGACACACACAGCCAACACACACACAGCACCCCAGACACACACTGCACCCCCAGAAACACACAGCACCCCCAGACACACACAGCCAACTCACACACAGCACCCCCAGACACACACACACACAGCACCCCAGAAACACACAGCACCCCAGACACACACACAGCACCCCCAGACACACTCACACACAG